GCTGCAGGGCTGCTGCATGCATGCACAGGGAACAAAGGACATGTTGATTGCTTAGGAAGAAAACAAAAGTAATAAAAAACGCCCCTCCAATGGCGACCTTTTGCTGCAGCAACTGCCGCTAGAGCAGCAGCAGCAGCAGCAGCAGCAGCAGCCGCTGCTGCGCGGGTTTACGGGTGTCACGGCATCTACCATCTACGGAGATTCTCCTTGGCGAATATAGCTGAGTAGCAGCATCACTTGGTTACCTAGAGGACATATCCTCTTGATTCCCGTTGCTGCTACTGCTGCTGCTGCTGCTTCTAGACGGGCGGCGGCTGCACGGTGTATGCAGCAGCAGCAGAGGCAGCATCAGCAGCAGCAACAGGCTCCCAGTGCTGCCTCTGAGCCTTAGGGCCTTCAGGGCGCTTCTCCTCTTGCTGTTTGTGCGGCGTATTACCGCTGCTTCGTGCTGCCTGCTGCTGCTGCTGTTGCTGTGAGTGCAACAACGTTACTACAGCAGAAAACAAGCACACGGTAGCTCCTTATCATCCAGGCTACTGCCGTTGCTGCTGCTGTTGCGGCTGCAGTTGCTGCTGCAGTTGCTGCTGTATCAGAGCAAGTATCTATAGCAGCAATGTCCGACGCAAAAGGTAAGCGCAAGGCCCTCACAGGCAGCAGCAGCAACAGCATCAAGGAGAGCAGCAGCAGCAACAGCAAGAGGTAAGCAGACACTGAACTTTACAGGTGTGCTGCTGTTTCTGCTGCAGGTTCTGTGTCTGCTCTTGTGGGGTCTAGGCCCCTGGGTGCTGCTGCTGCAGCAGTGCAGCGCAGCAGTAGCAGCAAGAGCAGCGGGAAGAAGAGCCGCCACCACCACAAGAAGCGGCGTCGCAGCAGCAAGCACAGTCGCCGCAGTAGCAGCAGTAGCAGCAGCAGCAGCAGCAGCAGCAGCAGCAGCGAGGGAGAGCAGGAAGAAGAGCTGCCTTTCTTTATGATGGACTCAACTATCCGTGCTGCTGTTGCTGAGCGTAAGCGGCAGCAGAAGCAGCAAAAGAAAGAAGAGAAACGCATGCAAAAGGCAGCAAAGAAGGCAGCTAAAAAGGAGGCCAAGAGACTGAAGAAACTCGAAAAGAAAAGAAGAAAAGAAGAAGCAAGCACCAACGCCAGCAGCAGCAGCAGCAGCAGCAGCAGCAGCAATAGTGGCAGCAGCAGCAAGAAACGGAAGAGAGATAAAGATTCAAGCAGCAGCAGCAGCAGCAGCAGCGATGACGACGACGCACCACGCAGCAAAAAAAGCCCCCGCAAGCACAAGGTACCCTCCAGCTGCTGATGCAGCTCTTGCTGCTGCTCCCCCTCCTGCTGCTGGCCGTCCTGCTGCTGTTGCTGCTGAGGCTGCTGCTGCTTTTGCTGCTGCTGCTGCTGCTGCTGGGGCTGCTGCTGCTGCAGAGGAGCGAGTTTGTTAGTGGAAAAAACTTCTGTCTGCCTGTGACGCGCAGGACTAACGGCCCTCGTATGTACAGCAACAGCAGCAGCAGCACAGCAGCAGTAGTAACAGCGGGATGCTTCGCGCCAGCACCGGAGCAGCAGCAGCAGCAGAGTTTCGTTCTTTCGCTGTGGCAGTTTGCGTTGTTGCTGCCCTGCAGCAGCATTGGCGTTGCGTATCGAGCTAGCCAGCCAGCTAGCTAGCTAGCCAGCGAGTTAGCTAGCTAGCCAGCTAGCTGGTGGCTAGTTAGGGGCCTCAATGCGGGGAGGGAGTGTACGGGGATTTGAGCAGGTTGTGGGTCGGAGGGTTTTCAAATGCGTGGCTAGCTGTTCAGCTAGCTAGCTAGCT